CTGTCTTCAATCACAGATGAGGTCGCCACTGTCTGCCCATCGAAGCCCAGGTCCTCCCACCTCGGCTCTTCTCGAGCTTTGACACAGAGTTTAGGGTTTAGGTTTTAGGGTGTAGGGTTTAGGGTGTATAGGGTTTAAGGTTTAGGGTTTAGGTTTCTATTCTCGTTGAGTTTGAGTACCCATAAGCGGGTAAAATGTTCCGCAACTACGACAGAGATCCCCTGCAACGAGAAGATACCGGCTAAATCCCAAACCCAAACCTACCCAAACCAATCATCCCAAAGCCTTATATAAGTCCCAACAGCATCGAAACACCTTAAACTCCAAAACCTGCAAGTTGCAAATAATCCCACAATGAGCTTCATCAGGGCTTGAAATGAAAGGCTTGATGACAGGGTTTTCTGGGTGAGGAGGGAGGGCCTTAACAATTACAATCTTAAGCGCTCCTAGAACTATAAAACAAATCCTAAACCCTAAACTCTGAACTACCCTAAGCCCTTCAAACAATCCCTTGGAGTTCCATTTGGGTAGTTCTCTAAATCCCTCATAAACAAGACGGCAAAAGGGACCCTAATTTAGACACCTACTCATATGAAACCTACAAAAGGATCCTGAAAAGGGACCCTAATTTAGAGAACTACCCATATGCCCTAAACCCAAAACCCTAAACCCTAAACCCCAAAACCCTAAAGCCCTAAACCCTAAACCCCAAAACCCTAAACCCTAAAACCCTATGAAACCCTAAAAAGGGCGGCGGAGTGTTGCGGGCCGCCTGCCGCTTCGGCGGGATGTTGAAGATCGGCGAGGTCAGCTCACGCCCGCTCCTGGACTTTTTTTAGGTTTGGGGCTTATAGGGGGGGTTGGGGTGTAGGGGGTTTAGGGTTTAGGGTTTAGGGATTATAGGGGGTTTAGGGTTTAGGGTTTAGGGTGTAGGGGGTTTAGGGTTAAGAGGTTATAGGGGGTTTAGGGTTTAGGGGTTGTAGGGGGTTTAGGGGGTTTAGGGTGTGGGGGGTTTAGGTTTAGGGTTTAGGGCTTATAGGGGGTTAAGGGTCTAGGGTTCAAGGCTTAATATAGGGGACTTAGTAGTTAGAATAGGGTTTTGGAGCCGGTTATGCTATACTTATAATAAGGAACCCCCCAAATAGTATTGGTAATTGTTAAGGCCCCTATATTAGGGTTTAGGGTTTAGGGCTCAAAAGGCTCTCAATTGGAGAGAACATCTGCGACAGGTTTGTCCCTTCGGAGGCTTCATTTGAGGGGGTCTATACGGGATCTTGTTCAAAGGGTTCCTTAAAGAGGGCTCTATAAGGAATCTATACTACAGTAGGGTTTGTCTGACGCGAGGTTTATGAAAGTTTCCGGGGCCTTCAAAACGTATAGGGTTTTCATCACCATCGGAGGCCAGACGAAATCGTCTTCAACCCTAGCACACATATGCCAAAGGCCATCCGCAGCCCTACCATTATAGTCCGTATAAGACTCACCTATTTCGCCTGAGACTAAATCCTAAACCTTATGCCTTGCACCTTATCATCTTCAGCCTGAACGCCGCAAAAACCCAAAAAGGCTCAAGCCCTAAACCCCAAACCGCATGCAAACCCTCCGCCATAAGCTCCAAACCGCTCCACCTCAAAACCCCCTATACAACCTTGCAAAACCCTTCTGTAAACCCAGCAACAACCGTCCAAAGCCCGTAACTTGCCGACCCTGATAGTAACCCTATACGGAACCCTTTTCAACAACCCTAAGACAACCCTAAACCCTAAACCCTAAAAACCCTAAACCCTAAACCCTAAAAACCCGAAAAAGCCGAAAAGCCCTTAGAGCAACGCTTCAAGGCCTCTTCTGTAGGAGTGCCCTCAGCGCTGCTTCAGCCGGCAGCGGTGCCCCCAAGGCGACTGCAGGTGCCAGGCCTCGAAGTTCGCGCGTTGTTCAGGGGTTTATAGGGTTTAGGGTTTAGGGTTTAGGGTTTAGGGCTTAGGGTTTAGGGTCTTTAGGGTTTGGGGTTTNNGGGTTTAGGGTTTATAAGGTTGAGGGATGAAAAGATCCATGAGGGTTCTGAGGGTTGTTTCAGAGGTTCTGCTGAATGCAAACCTGGGGATCCCAATAACAACTGTTTTAGGAGTTTTGCCTTCAAAGTAAGGGGTCAAAACCCAGTATTTTGTAGGGTTCTGCTGCATGAAAAGATCCATGGGGGTTCTGAGGGTTATAAGTTATAACGCGGTCGTTGAGGATTTAGGATACCGAAAGGTTCATGCCCTACCCCTTTTTTGAGGTACCTAGTTTTATCGTTAGGATCTGTTATATATACAAATTAGGTACCCCTAAAAAGGGGGTAGGGTGTGACCCTATAGGTAAGATGTTCCGGGTGCTAGGGATTAGGGCTTAGGGTGTTACGGGTTTACCGGGTTAGGCCTGGAAGTGCTGCGCAGCCTGCCGTAGGCGGTTGTGTAGATGCATACGTACATGCGTACATACCTACATA